TGCATTTTATTCATTATGCAATGCTTTAATGACTAGTTTTTTTTTTTTTTTTTCTTTTCTTTTCTTGTTGTTTGTTATAAATTATTGTTCGGTTGTTTGCACTAATCCAATTTCTGCTATTTCTATTTGTTCCATGTGGTGATTGTCAATATGGATTCCATCAACAGCTGATTAAGGATTTGTTTGGGACGGTTTTATTACTATTTTTTAAAAGCAGTTTTTTAGTTAAAACATTATTTTTTTTTAAATTAAAAAGTTGCTTTAAGAAGCAGTAAGAAAGCCGTCTCAACCTAAAAATTTTTCTAGATACTACATATTTTATTTATCATGCATGTTTTTATGGACTAATTCATCAGGAGTTTTGAGCCCTTTTAGGCTTTATTATTTGAAGCGGTTTTTTTATTGCTTCTTAAAGCGGTATTTTAGTACAAAAATTACAAATTAAATACTAGAAAGTCTCTTTAAGAAGTAGTAAAAAAGTTATCCCAAACGAAACTTTGACACTATTTTCTTGTTGATATTAACGTTGAAATCTAATTGATATTTAAAAGCAATGGGGAGAGAATTTTATTGATCTCCAATAAAATCTTCCAAGTAATAGTTAAAATTTTCATTACAAATGAAGAATAATTAATTGTAAATTTTAAGTTTATTTTGTTTTGTTAATATTTTTGTTATTTTCTTATATGTAGCCATTATAAAAAAGACTGACTAATGAAATTAAGATGAAGTTACTCTTAAACAAACATTTTCTTTCTCTCTTTCTTTGGTCTCCTTGTTCTTTATCTTCTTCTTCTTCTCTCCCTATTTAGCTCACCCAAGATGGAGACCTAGCAAGAACAACTAGCCTCTTTGTTCTTCATCATCTTCTTCTTCTCTCTATATTTAGCTCACCCAAAATAGAGACATGGCAAGAAAAAAAACTAGCATCTAAGCCCTTGGAACCTCTTGAGGATGTAAGGGAGAAGAACAAGAAGAAAAACTTATCTTATTTGACAATTCTGTTTGGAAATTGAAGTGGATTGGATAATTGCTTGAATTTAATTTACTAGATCAATTTGTTTAATCAAGAGCAAGACTTCCTCTAAATCAATTCAATTCAATTTAAAATTGATTTGGTTTATATAAAGATATACATTTGTATTGTGCATGTATTTGCACACATACAGGAACACACTGTGCTTATTGGGACGGCTTTCTTACTGCTTCTTAAAACATTTTTGTAGTACAAAAAAATTAATTAATTTTAGTTGAAAGTTGTCCCAAATAAAGCCTATGATGCACAAACACTTTTATATAAAGGGATATGTAATATCTAATATGTTTGAGATATGTACACGCGTGTATCATGCTAACACGTGTCAAACATGATATTCACATATCCAACTAAAAATGAAAAAAAAATCTACACATGCCTTTAAATAATAGGGATCTACAACACGTTGCCCATGCGAACAACCTCACAAGCTGCAATGTGTTATGTCGGCCTTAAAATAAGTGAGAAAAAGCTATGTAGCTTCTTAAAGTTTGTTTATTCTTCTTGTTGCATCCTGGAATATTCGCAGCAGTAGATTAATATAAAGTTTAACATCTTAACTTTGTACGAAGATCCAGTACACAATCAAATAAAAAGAGAGGGTGCAATATTTATAAGAGACATTAATATTTTTACGTGAAGAATCCTAAAAAAGGGAAAAATCATGGGGCTCAACCCAATTTGAATGAATCCACTAGTATTTGTAGTTTATTATAAATGAGGCCCTTCATTAGAGGGAAGGCGTTGGCTTGATGTAACAAATATACATCATATAGAATGCATTACATTGTAGAAATTGGAAGAATCAATATTGATATGTTTGTTTGTCAGTAGGACCATAGTCGGCAGAGGACGGAGGTCATAAAGACCCTATTTGGTGATGGTGGTTGGAAGGACCGTAGTCGACAGGGGACGGAGGTCATAAAGACCCTATTTGGTGATGGTGGTTGGAAGGACCGTAGTCGGCGGGCGACGAAGGTCGGAAGGATTGTTATTTGGGGACAAAGGTCAGAAGGACAGTAGTCGACGGGCGACGGAGGTTAAAAAGATCGTATTTTGGTAGCAGAGGTCGGAAGGATCGTTGTCTATAGATGGAGGTTGGAAGGCTATAGTTAGTAGATGATGAAAGTCCGAAAGACAGTTGTCTGACGACGGAGATTGTAAGGATCGTAGTTGACAGACGATAATGGTCAAAAAGATCGTTGTCTGGCAATGGAGGTCAAAAGAACCATAGTCTAAAGATGGTGGTTGAAAGGATCATAGTTTGACGACTAAGATCGAAAGGACTGTAGTCTGCAGACGATAGTGATCAGAAAGACCATTGTCTGGTGACGGAGGTCGGAAGGACATTAATCGATGGTCGGGTAGAAGTCTAGCGTTAGTTGGTGGCCGGGCAGAAGTTTGGCGTCAAGCAGGGCAGAAGTTCGACGTTAGTCGGTGGTCAGATAGAAGTCTGGCGTTTGGTGGCCAGGTGTAAGTTCGTTGTTAGTCTGTGGTCTGCAGCGTCAGTTGGTGGCCAAACAGAAGTCCGACGAAGGTTGGTGGTCGACGAGGAGCCTAGTGTCCTCTCTTTTTTCCCTCCTTGCTTGGCCCCCTTTTCATCAGGAATGATTGGTCTATTTATAGTTTTTTTTTTTGAAGGGCATGACCAATAAATAGGATAAAGATCAAGGGCATGTAGGGAGTGATTTGAATGGACGGTTAAGACCAATTCCTTTGATCATGAATTATTTATTAAGTATTTGAGTGTCTTAATGATGTCATTCTTCAACAATCGAGGGCTCGTTGGATTCATCTGGCCGAGCCACTCGATTCGATTATAAACATATAACATTTGGAAACTGTTTGATAATCCAAATTATGGTTTGAACCTTATAAATGTATTTAAAGTTTTCGATTTGGTCCCATTTGGGCTCAGCTTGGGTGAAATTGTGTTGGTGGGTTCGTATTTTTGAGACATTTAGTTCAACTATAAGTTTATTGAAATCGGAGTTCGGATGATACCATAATTAATTTTGAAATTTTTCTAACTTGATATTGCCTCGAGATTCGTGCCCAATCAAAAAAAATTTTGATGATATATCACTTCTAATATTCAAACTGGCAACAACTTTGTTGTTTATTCAAATATAATATAATTAATGTAGTTCAATTGAATTATTAATCCTTAAATTATATATATACAATTTCATAATTGTTACAATTACTTGTATAATAATTTATAATATTTACCCACAAATTATGCATAAACACTTCTATTTGCTCCCTTTTTTAAATAAATAAACATTTAAATAAATAATTTCTTTATTATTCAAATAAGGATAAAAAATAATATATTTTATTTTCAAAATTGTCACCCGACCTTTCCAATAAATCAAAATCCCAAACATTTGAACCGCACCCCCCAAAATTTTTCTGACGCGCTTACTCTTCCGCCTATTCTAACAAATCTATCAAATTCCAAATACTGGCGCCCCACCAATCAAATCTAGTCCAATGCCAGTTTTACAAATCCATCAGCCAACGCATTTTAGACCGTCTGTTTGTGACACGTGTCTTCATCACACTTCTTCCCGTTTATTCCGTTCCCGTTGCCGGCTGCCCGCTGCCCGCCGCCAAAATTTTAATTTCCGAACCGGCCAAAAAAAAACCGGACCGAATCCTAAACCGCGCGCGGTCTTTTTCCCTCTAATTTCGAACTCACCGCTCATTCGAAAAAACAAAAAAGAGTCACCAAATTTCTCTACAAAGCCCCGACTCTCCCTCCTTCCCTCCTCCCCTCCTCCCCTCCTCGATCCTGCTCCCAGTAATCTCTCTCTCTCTCACCCTTCTTCTTTTTCTCTCTCTAGAACCAGGAAGAGAAGACGAGGAAGGGAAGGAGATATGGCGGACAAGGAGAACTGTTCTCGCCTGACTCGCGCCGGGGCCAAGAGGGCATTTGCTTCCGCAGCAGCTGCTGCTGCCGCCGCCGCCGAGCAGCGGCCAGTAAAGAGAAAGCGGGTGGCACTTGGCGAGCTCCCGACCCTTTCAAATGCCTTGGTCGATGTGTCCTCATCTAATCGAGCTATCTCCAAGTCCAAGCCTCGATCCAAGGAGGGTAGGAACGCGGAAGCTGTAAAAGTGGGTGGAGAGAAGTTGGACGATCCTCAGTTCTGCCCGCATTACGCCTCCGATATTTACTGTTATCTTCGGTCCATGGAGGTGGGTTTCTGAATCTTTGGTCAACGTAGGGTTTTGATTATTTGGGAAGGGTTTTGAATTTAAGGCTTATCAGGTTTTGTGATGATTGAAAATGTAGGTTGAAGAGAAGAGGAGGCCAGTGGCGGGGTATATTGAGAGCGTTCAGAAGGATGTGAATCCTAATATGAGGGGGATTTTGGTGGATTGGCTGGTGGAAGTTGCTGAGGAGTATAAATTGGTCTCGGATACGTTGTACCTCACTGTTTCATATATTGATCGGTATCTATCGTTTAATACAATTAACAGGCAGAGGCTTCAGCTTATTGGAGTTTCAGCTATGCTCATTGCCTCGTACGCGTCAATTTCTATATCTATTTGTTTTGCTAAGTTTGTCATGCCTTTTGGATTTGGTTTTTTGATCTTCTCCTTAATTTATTTCAGGAAATATGAAGAGATCAGCCCTCCTCACGTAGAGGACTTCTGTTATATAACTGATAATACATATACCAAGAAACAGGTTCGTTTATTTTCTTGAAACTTTTTTTCCTATTGCTAAATCTGGTAACTAATGATTTTTTTTTTCTAATGTTCATGAAAAGGTTGTTGAGATGGAAAGTGACATCCTCAAATTTCTCAACTTTGAGATGGGCAATCCTACCATCAAAACCTTTCTAAGGTAAGACCTCGTGCAAATTTTTGTAAGGTTAAAGATTTATGATTCTTGTTTTCTTGATCTGATTGAAGTTAAATTTTCTTTTCTTGAAGGAGATTCTTGAAGGCCAGCCTTGAAGATGGTGAAGTAAGCTAAATTAAATTATGCATTAGAAGCCTTATGTACTATATAGAGTCTCATATGTGCATATTTTATGTATTCAGAATCCAAGCCTGCTGCTAGAGTTTATGGGTTGCTATCTTGGAGAGTTGAGCTTATTAGATTATAAATGTGTTCAGTTCCTACCATCAATTGTAGCTGCTTCAGCTGTTTTTCTTGCAAGATTCACCATCAACCAGGAAATAAGTGTTTTTCTACATATCTAATATTTGCAGAGCAAAAAATTGAGACATTGTACTGGTTATAAAGTGTCAGATTTGAAGGAATGCATCCATTTAATCCATGATTTGCAGTTGAACAAAAGAGGATCCAATTTGGTGGCAGTTAGAGAAAAATACAAACATCATAGAGTAAGACATTGCATTTATACATAATGGATTTCATCGATTGGTGTTTGTAGATAAGCTAATTTGTGTTATTTTGTGTGTTGAAACAGTTCAAGTTTGTGTCTTCAATGGTTCCTCCAGCTGTTATACCTGAATCATTTCTAGAGGATTTTGGAGTACAAGTTTTGTGATAGCTTTGGTTGTACAGTGTGGTGATAGATTTGGTAAAGGTACATCTTTTGTTATGTTCATTGAGTTTTGCATCTCAACTTTGTAAAACTCATGATGAGGTTTTTTGCTTGAGTAAAGTTCGAGTTGGAATTTGAACTGTGACCAACTTAGATTAGATGTAATTTATTTTTTGGTTAGATGTGAAGTTGGTGAAGATATTTTGTTGACATGTTCCAAACCAAACAAACTAAAATTTAGGAAGTTGGAAGTTTTGCAAGCTTAGATGTTAGTAAGTTCAATAATGTACTTGTTTAACATTGTTCAATTTTTGTTTTCAGTTGAAAAGAGTTGAAAAGAGATTCATTGTGCACTTTGATATTTGATTCTTGTTGATCAGTTATCATTTTCATTTCCTATCAAAAGAGTAGAAATCAAATACTAGGAGCCCTTAACATTTAGGGTTAGGGTTATGATTCTTGAATTAATCAAAAATTTTTTATTATAATGTTATAAAAGTGTTTATTGGGACTATATGGTTTCATTATATTATAAGATTTTTCAATGATATTAGGTTTAGATGTTTCTCTCTTGTAATTGCTTCTTTTGTTCTATCATATTGACTCTTGTTGTAAAATGTTTAGGTGTATGACCACCACATCATAGGGGAAAATTACTAGGAGTCATATAATATTGTATCTTCTCATTATGTAGTGGTGTCTATATATTATTAATTGAAAAAATAACTAAGTGGAGTGGTGAATGGGTTATCTTCATAGTAAATGAGAAATAGAATATTTTTTACACTTCCTTTAATAGAAGTGAGGGAGGAAATGTCATGTGTTAATCATTGATAGGGTAATAATTTAAGTATATATATTTTTTATCATTAAAAAATTGCTTGTGATATTAGAATTTCACTCAAATGAATTCTTAATTTTGAAAATAAATTGTTGCCCTTTATTTTTAAAAATAAATATGGTTTAATTCATGTTTATTTATATTATAGAAAATGATTAGAATACTATTTTTATTTCACTCAATGAAATTTCAATCTTTTGTTAAAAAAAAAAAACATGCAACCCTTTAAATTGGATTAGCTTGTTGGATTTGAATTTTGTTTGGATACCCAACTTTTGATAGGGCAATGTAATAGCCCAACTTTAAGCATTTTGCTCCCTTAAATTTTATGATATTTTATAACTTTACTTATCAGAAGTTTTTTAGCATAAAATCAATTGTTTAATAAAATATAGGAGTTAAGGTTATAAATATCTATTGAAAAAAATTATTATTATTTTGAAATAGTTAATTTATATTATTACAAGAAAAAAAAAATTGACTTCATCATTGAACTAAATCATGCATCTTAATCATAGATTCCACTCTTTCTTTTAATTTTCTTTTAAACTTTGGGATAGGAAAATATTTTTTCTTAATTATGACAAAATAAATAAATGAATAAGAAATAAAAACTTTATAACTAATCATTCATCAACCATAGGCTTATTTGATTAGAAAAAGTAATGTCATGCTGGAAAAAAGTGTTTTTGTTTGAACAAAAAATTTTATATTAAGGAAAAGGATTTCCTATGAAAAAAGAGAATATAATAGATTGTTAGAAATTATAAAATATTATGATTTTGTTTGGGACAAATTTTTTTATGCTTTCTAAAACAACTCTTTTTTATAGAAATTATTAATTCAAAAAAAATTTGTATTAAAAAGTTGTTTTAAAAAGCAATAAAAAAATGATTCCAAATGAAATTTATATATTCATTTGATTATTTATGATGTTAGTACAAAATATAGAACAATAAGAAAAATATTCATAACAATATGTGATAATATTGATATGAGAACATCTTTATACAGAAGAATTTTGCTCTAAAATAAGTATGCACCAAATTTATTTAAATGTATCAGAGATGGAGATTCAAGTCTAGCTTATGCAGTTCTGATGGTTGATTGGATGCATGGGAATTGATCTGAAGGCTTATTGTTTGATGTTCTCCTAAAGAGAGATTATTCTGTGCGAACACTTGACACAATTATTGTTCAGAGGCCAATCAGGTGTAGCCACGTCATCTAATACCAAGCAGTACTGAGCTCAATATCGAGCAGTACTGAGCCGCGGTACCTTGTATGTGTGATGTGATGCATTTTCATTGCGCTCTGGATGACACTCGGTGTCCGCACCTAATAATTTCACCCTCCTAAGGCCTGTGAGCTATGGAATTTCCTTGTACAGAAGTTGCAGGAGAACACCTTAAGAGGGGATTACAGGCTGTGAGAACTTGAAGAGTTCTCTCTACTTAGTGTCAAGTCCAACCATTTTCTTGAGCTTTCAGTGAGCACTTCTTCATCTTGATAATCATTTGTTTGCGATCCTAATTTCACTTTGGTCACTGATCTTCCTCCATCTTCTTGTTGCCTTCTTTCTGCCATTCCTGAAGAATTTGGTGATCTTTGAAGTCATGGAGATCTGGTGGATGGTATTGGTTTCCCTTAAAAAGGAGAGCTAGGTGTTCCTGGGAGAAAACAATAAGGATATTTTAATTTTTATGTATGACATGTACTGTGTTACTAGTCATTTCTATTTTACCTAATTCTGAATGTTATAGCTGAAATTCATGAGTTAAGAAAAATTTTGGGCTAAATTTAGGGGTCATTTGATTTCCTAAAAAAAATGCAAAGTAAAATGAAATACAATGTATAATGAATGAATATAAAATAAATGCATGTGATTTTTTTTTAAAGTAAAATGAATGTACTGTAAAGCTCAATGATAATGATGGTTTGTAGCCAATGATGGTAGTAGCAACTAGCAACCGACGATAATATTGGTGGCACAGGCAATAATAGAGAATTTACAGTTTAATTGAAAATCGGTCAAATCTAATGATTTTTAACTATACAAAAATTGAACTAGATAGTGAAATTCAACTTCAAATCAACCATCAATATTTTTAAAACTCCTACATTTTAAACACTTTATGACCCCTTTTACTACAAAAAGGATAGCCCCTTAAGAGTTTCACTTGAAACTCATATATTTAGCAAAATTTGAATGAAATTCTCAAAGTCTTAGTCAAATTAGAATTCTATCATTAAAGTTCCTTTCATGTGCATTATAAATTAAACCACAACTAGTATTTCCTGATTATTTTATACTGAAAAGTAGTTCATTTCTATGAGTTTTCTGAGTTTACAAATACAATGTGGACAATCTACACATATTGGCCATTACTCCTAACACCATATTTATTATCTCCTTGTCGTACAACTACTTTTTTGTACTGCACAAACTGAAAGTATCTTGTTGAGAATCAGATTAAAACATGTTGCAAGAAATTGATAATAACAAGTACATATGAAAATAAGAGGATGAAGCTTCCTTTGAATTTGCATTGAAAATTATAGAATGAAACATACCTTGCAAGCTTCTTTGCCTTCATGATCTTGGTTCTTCATTTTCTGCATTTGTACTTAGTCACAATAAATAAGATCTATCACTATAAATAGTGTCAGGATAATATTTTAAGAGCCATATGTCTGTACCTAACAATTCTCCTATCTCCTAAGCTCAAAAAAGTAGAACCTAACCAAAAAAACATTTTCAAGGAATTCACAAAAGTAGAAGGTTCTTGAAATCTTGATTTAATTCATAATAAACAAAACCTTAAATCTTAAATTTCTAGACAAATGAGAAAAACGTCAAAATGGTGTCTATCTAATGTGTATAATTTATCTTAACAAATTATTGTATCAAAATCTCTAATAAACCCCTCACTTAACTCAATAATGTTGTAATATAATTTTAGATCTCCTTATGTCTCCTTGCCAAATTGAGCTCATCAAGCTCTTAAAGCCCCAAAAGAATTGAGAATCATGCAAACTCAACAATCCTAAACGGTATATGAACTTAACAACAATGAGAAATCTTTGATGGATATTTGTTGCACATAGAAGTGGATCCATTAATATTGAAAGTGCACCCACCACAATTTTTTTTTTTTAACTTTATAAGTGATTATCTCCTCAGTCTAAATATTTCAATGATAATACCTAGTACTATGACAAATTATGTAACATGAGATCAATCCACGTGTTCATCTCTAATCCACCATTCAACATGTGCATGCCATTATTCGCATCATGACATTCATTCAAGAGGTTGACTTTTATCCGCTTTCCTAAATCATGAATGCAGCGACGCGCTGTATCATGTATGGTCTGAATACAACGACAAATGTGCAAGGGCCACCGCACCGGCTCCTAAAAGGTCACAATGGAGAAAAAGAATTCACGTAGCCGACCCCATATAATAGGTTAAAGATTTGTTGTTGTTGTCGTCGTCGTCCTCCTAAATCATGATGCTCCAACATGGATGATGAAATTGAAGCAGCACCACTTGACCCTACAATACATAAAATCCACCAACTCTCTTTACTATCATGAAATTCAATATATTCTTGTGAACTTTAAGGACTTAAACATTTCTTGAAAATCTATATCATGTACGACATAATGCATTCAAATTTCAAAGATATAAAATTGTTCTTAGAATGTGGTACACGCTTAGCTTGTATCAATGTTAAAATGCATTTTTCCAACTTTATTATGCAAAATCAACTAATTTATATTTTGCATTATTTCCTACGAACTGAGGAGCGTCAGCAGCACAATTCCTAAAAATATGCATCTTGAGAGGCAGACAATCAGGTTCATCTTAGGCTCAAAAGAAAGATACTGAACAGCTTCAGCAGAATAATTGATTTCAAGACATTTGGTTTGTTTGATTATAAATAACAAGCTTTTGGATATATAAGTGATGTTTTGATGGGAGATTAGAAAGTTTATCTTTACACCAAATAGTGTCCACCCTCGTTGTTGCCTTACAAGTATAGCATGATTGTATTAGGACTGCTTCAATCTAAATCAAGGAAAAAAATGACTATTGTGTTGCCCATTTGTTATCATCTCCTAATGTTAAAATAAAAGGTGAAGCTAATTGCATATACACCGAGGGAATTTCCTTCTATCTTTGGATGTAGGAGAACTATAACTCGTAAGACAAAGTTCACATATTACCATGTCAGGCTAAAGTCTGTCAGTAGATGTAGCACACAATAGATCCAGGAACTAGTAATAAAGTTGCTCTCGGACTCAAGCTAAGGAGAAATTATTGTGTGCGGAATCCGAATGCATTCGGAGATGAATCCGGATGCGCCACATCACCGGATGCACTAGGCCCCGGTGACATGGCATGCCCGGATTCGCCTCCGAACACATTTGGATTCCGCACATAATAATTTCTCCAAGCTAAGAGGGATCAACCTGGCAAGCGCATAAGCTGGCATCAATTCTTCTCAAGCTAAATTGAGCTCAAAACTATGGACCGGCTTTTTATTGCTTAGTTGAGTATGATATTTGTCCTATGAAGAAAATGTGCTATCAATGTAAGATGGTATCAATTCTTCCCAAGCCAAACTAATCTCAAAATCATGACCGGACTTATTTATTGTTAAGTTGTGGAGTCTTATTTTTTTCCGCAAAGAAAATGAGTTGCATTTTCTACAATCAAACTATAATAAAATCTGCAGCAACGACAACGAAACATAACATAACCTGTTTCACCTATACCCTACAACAAGGCACATGAAAGGCAGTTTGTCAGCAGCTCATCAGCCCATAGAAATAGCTTCTCGTGCTTAGAGACAAAACTAGATGAAAATGGGGGAGGGCCAACAGAGAAACTAAAAGTAAAACTAAAAATTTCAGCATATCATGGAAAATTGAGAAGGGATGGGAAATTACAGTTGGAAATGAAACGCAATGTAAAAATACATCAAGCGTTGTTTTTGATACTGGAGAAATCTATCTGCTTGCACATATGCTATCATTTCAAGGAGGTCCAAATCTCCAGTAGCAGAAATGGAATTCCCAACTGCAAGAGCATACATTGGGACCATTACAGACATATTTTGGATGCTTGTAGCCTCCTATCTCTTCTTACTTGGATGGAGGGGACTTTCATCCATTTAGTTTCAGGCACCAGGATACAGCAAATAATTACAACTTTATTTGCACCATTCCTTAGTGACCTTTCATTGCATTAAAAAAAAAAGGACCAGTAAGTATGAAGAGGGGTAGATTTGAAAAAGAAAATAAACTAAATCACTTCATATGAAGCAATAGATAGAAACAGAGATTATCAAAACATGATATAATTTCAATACTTCTAAATCTCCACTAGCAAAATGGAATTCCCATAAGCAGGAGCATACCTTGTGGCCATCATGGCCTAATGTAGGATGCATGTAGCCTCCTACCTTGTACTTGGATGGAGGGGACTTTCATCCATTTAGCTTTGGGCACCAGAATACAACAAATAAAAACACAACATTATTTGCATCACTCCTTGGTGCCCTCTCTAACTGCCTTAAAAAGACAATTACATGATTGAGAAATGCTAAGAATTATGAATATAGCTACCAAACTCTTTTTGTCGAGTTATTAATTTTACCATATTGCTCTTGATTTTAAATCTGCAATAAAATTTCAGCTGCATTATCCATAAGTACACGCTTTTCTCCGGTATATTTGCAGAAGAAAATGATATCATTTCAAGCCTTCCAAATCTCCCTATAGCAGAAAGAGAATTTACAACTGGACCATTATAGGCTTATATTTAGGATATATGTAGCCTGCTACCTTGCATTATTCCAGTTTTGTGTTTAATTCTAAGTAATTCATAATTCTTCTAATCAAAAGGTATTGGAATCTGCCATACTTAAGTAAGAATACCACTCATCTGCTCTGGTAATTCAGTAAATTTGAGCGACACCCATCCAACCAAACAAACAGTCTTAAAAATTAAAGTTCTTGGACTCTCAAGCAAAAAACAGTAGTTTAAATTTTTATAAAAATATAAGTCGATACCCAGTGTTCAAAGCCTGTGGTAATGGCGAGCATCATGATTGTTGCAAACTTCAGGGATGTCCTCCTAGAGGAAAAATGTGCAGCACAATTTTATTCAAATAATGTAATCCATGGAATCCTCACAAGCACAAACTATGTAATGTGGCAGGAATTGATAAAAATAGCAAGACGGGAAGACAAAAAACCCTGCTGGTTCATTTTTTGCAGAATCACCCATCCCATTAAAGCCCTCTAAATATAGAAGTCAATTGGGTTGTTGATATAGCAGCAACAACCTTAAATTCCCGACTAATACCATAGAACAAACATTATAGATGAAAAGTTATTGACAACTTTAATTTCACTAAAAATTTTGTAGTGGTAAACTGGTTCAGGCTTTGTAATTGCAAATATTCACGCTTCAGGGTTGGCGAACAGAAGATATTTTTGTTAAGGATGACAAGTAGCTTGTGCACTTGCGATCAAAGACAGCGCTAACAGTTTTAATTTCTGTGGAAAAGATGATGGAACCCTCGAACTGAAACCAGCAACTTAAACCGCTTCAATCGAAACGAATTTTGCCGAAACCATAGAAATGAAACCAGCTTCCAATAATTCCAATGAACCATGAACGATAAAAACAAAACGTACAGTAAGAGAGTAAGATATAAACGAACATACACGAAACAACTCATCTCTGTTGACAACATCCAAGATCGCAAGTGCAGAGGCGATCAAGCAAAAAGACGTATTCCTAAAGTGCCGCACTGATCCACGATTGCGGCTCCCTATTCTATTTCTTCCCAAACGGCAAATGCTACCTGCAGAAAGAGTAAGAAGGGGAAGACCCGGAAAGAACAAGATCTACTAGAATGGAGGGAAGAAAGAAGAGCGAGGATGAGAGCGTTTAGAAATCGAACCAATATATAGATCGGAACGAGTGGGATTAACGTATCGCCAAATGGAATCGCCCAAAGCGATTTTGCAGAGGGCGCTTCGCGTCGGCGCTGTCCATGCCGTCTGGAGAAGAGAAAGGATCAGAGATGCCGATCAACTGTTTGATAATATGACGGAAGGAGGAGGGCTTTGCCATTTACTCTGTGCAAATTATTAGGTCCGGTCACCTGACCTATGTCCGAATATCCAATAAAATTTGTCACCTTGACTGTGTTTTGACTGTGCTGCTTGACTGCGCTTTGACTGTACTTTTTTACCGCACTTTATCTGCACTTTAGCTGTGCTTTACTTGCGCTTTTGACTGCACTTTTTTTAGTCAAAGCACAGTCAACGTGGCAAATTTTTAGTGGATGTTCGGACCTAGAAATAGGTCCAGTGACCGGGCCTAATAATTTGCCCTGCTAGTGAGAGTGGCTTTTGTTCGCTAAAGTGTAGCACGGTGCATCAAATCGCTTCCCGATAGAGGTCTCTCTCACACTTATGGGTCAGTCCTAGGAGAAATTATTTTTTGAGGACACAAGAAGTTAGGGAGACAAATTAGAACGCGTTGTGTCATTTGGTATCCAGAAAAAATAACGTGATGCTTTCTATTTGGTCTCTAGACTCGGTTCGGTATCCTTACAACTGTCTTAGGGGACAACATGCTTTCTATTTAAAAAAAAAATAATTAAAATTTCTTGTACTAAAAAATCATTTCAGAAAACAAAAACAAAAATATCTTAACTTTTTTATTGCTTTCTAAGGCAGCTTTATAGTACCAAAATTTTTTAAATACTATACATATGGTCTATAAAGCATTAGGAAAGCTGCCCCAAATGAAGCATATCTAATATTTTTTAAAACAAATCTTTCATTTATACTCATTTAACCAAAATGAATTAGTCATAAATTGATCAATATTAAGATCATGTGATTTATTACACACTGGGATGATTCAACTGTTCTAAGATTCTACTATTCGTTCTGATTGATTCTCGTTGATTCTGGAATTGGAGCGAACTAGTCGAAACTCATTCATAGTTGAATCAGTCGAACATATTGATTTGACCCCATTTTTAAAAGCATGCTTTAGGTAGATGCAAATATATATATATATATATATATATTCCAAAATTTAATCGACGAAAAATTGCGTCAACAATTGCATAGGATACTAGCTAGTCATTAGTGATGGGCCAAGTTAGCGACAGCGCTAACAGTTTTAATTTATGTGGAAAAGATGATGGAACCCTCGAACTGAAACCAGCAACTTAAACCGCTTCAATCGAAACGAATTTTGCCTAAACCATAGAAATGAAACCAGCTTCCAATAATCCCAATGAACCATGAACGATAAAAACAAAACGTACAGTAAGACAGTAAGATATAAACGAACATACACGAAACAACTCATCTCTGTTGACAACATCCAAGATCGCAAGTGCAGAGGCGATCAAGCAAAAAGACGTATTCCTAAAGTGCCGCACTGATCCACGATTGCGGCTCCGTATTCTATTTCTTCCCAAACGGCAAATGCTACCTACAGAAAGAGTAAGAAGGGGAAGACCCGGAAAGAACAAGATCTACTAGAATGGAGGGAAGAAAGAAGAGCGAGGATGAGAGCGTTTAGAAATCGAACTAATATAGAGATCGGAACGAGTGGGATTAACGTATCGCCAAATGGAATCGCCCAAAGCGATTTTGCAGAGGGCGCTTCGCGTCGGCGCTGTCCATACCGTATGGAGAAGAGAAAGGATCAGAGATGCCGATCAACTGTTTGATAATATGACGGAAGGAGAGGGCTTTGCCATTTACTCTCTGCAAATTATTAGGTCCGGTCACGTGACCTAGGACCTGACATCCAATAAAAAATTATCACGTGGACTGCGTTTTGACTGTACTTTTTTACTGCTCTTTAACTGCACTTTAACTGTGTTTTACTTGTGCTTTTGACTGCACTTTTTTGAGTCAAAGCATAGTCAACGTGACAAATTTTTAGTGGATGTTCGGACCTAGAAATAGGTCCGATGACCGGACCTAATAATTTGCCCTGCTGGTGAGAGTGGCTTCTATTCGCTGAAGTGTGGCGCGGTGCATCGAATCGCTTCCCGGTAGAGGTCCCGCTCACACTTATGTGTCAGTCCTAAGAGAAATTATTTTTTTAGGACACAAGAATTTTGGGAGACCAATTAGAACGCGTTGTGTCATTCGGTATCCAGAAAAAATAACGGAAAGCATTCTATTTGGTCTCTAGACTCGGTTCGGTATCCTCATAGCTGTCTTAGGGACAACATTCTTACTATTTAAAAAAATAAATTAGTTAAAAATTTTTGTACTAAAAAATCATTTCAGAAAAAAAAAAAACATCCTAACTTTTTTATTGCTTTCTAAGGCAGCTTTATAGTACCAGCATTTTTTAAATACTATACATATGATCCATAAAGCATTAAAAAGGCTGCCCCAAATGCACCATAACTAATATTTTTTAATACAAGTCTTTCCTTTCAAGTCTTTCATTTCTACTCATTTAACCAAAATGAAATAGTCATAAATTGATCAATAGTAAGATCATATGATTTATTACATACTAGGATGATTCAACTGTTCTAAGATTCGACTATCCGTTCTAATCGATTTTGGAATTGGAGCGAACTAGTCGAAACTCATTCATAGTTGAATCGGTCGAACATATTGATTTGACCCCATTTTTAAAAGCATGCTTTAGGTAGATGCAAATATATATATATTCTAAAATTTTATCGACGAAGAATTGCATCAACAATTGCATAGGATACTAGCTAGTCATTAGTGATGGGCCAAGTTAGCATTCCTAACCAAATCTACCATGCCACCTTGCAAGCTAGATAACATATGAAGCACTCTATTTGGACAACATGTCATGGCAACCTTCAAGCTTTTGACAATGTATATTGAGAGATCATGTTGGAACTAATGATGATCACACTTGAGAAAGAAGAATTTTACAAAGCTAGCTACTATGAATAATATGCAGTACACTCTTAGTTCATGAATATGAGGAATCATGGATTTATGCAATTATGTTTGGTATAGTCTTCTCCTTATAATTGTTGTGCATGAGCTTTTTGGAGTTGTGAGATGATGCATTGGCTTGCAAAAACTTAAATATCCTTGAAATTATTTTGAAATGGAATGATGAATAGAGTATTGATTGCGAAGTTTGTTTGTTAATTAACAATTTAGTACTAGGACATTTTGTTCTTTTTCTATGATTTTTGTTTATTAACAATAAAATGTGATAGACTAATATTTAAATAAGCTAATTTAGTGATCGATTGAGTCAATTTATCTTGCTTTTGCTCTCTCACTCACTCAAACTCACATTCAACATATATATATATATATATATATATAATTTGGGGCTCACACTCATATGAAAATAAGAAATGCAATATTGACTATGAGGATTGTGCAAATTGTGTTGATAATAGGCCTACCTTTAGATTCAATATTTTACAATTTTATTTTCGGTTCACTTACGGTCTCATTGTTGAGTTATATCTTTGATAAATTTAGGCTTTATTTGGGACGTCTTTCTTACTATTTTTAAAAACAAATTTTTAGTACACAAATTAAAATTTTTTATACTAAAAAAATATTTTAAAAAGTAGTGAAAAATCCATCTCGCTTAGTCTTACTTGCCTTTTATTTATCAATATATTAATATGAGGAGTTTAAAATTCATGATAGATATAAAAAATATTTCATATGCTCATAATTAATATAAAAAAGATTTATATGGAAAAACCTCTATTTTATCGCTTAGTCTTAACTGCCTTCACTACAGGTGAGCTATTACCGGAGGATGGAATCTGCCGGCAACAATGAAAATACACTGGAAATATCACCTTTCCGGCGCATTTCCGCTGCAAATTTCTCTGATGGTAATTCGCGCGTCGGAAAGACAACACCAGTGAATTATTTACGTTGGAAATATTTTCGGTGGTGTTTCCAGTGAAATGCCGGTGAAAAAAAAAACACAGTCAACGCCTTTTTCATTGTTGTATTCCAGCAGACTGAATACACCATAAATACCGTGTGCATAATCTGCCTATTAAAAGGCTTCATTCTATTACTGACGTACCTTACTGTCGTAATATCCGTTGGTATTAACGACGCAAATTTGAGCCATAAATACCGTGGCATCGTATTACCGGCATAGTTTCCGACGGATTATCCGCCAGAAACTTGTAGCTGAAATAAAAAAACAAGCTTCATTGTTTTAAAGCTGATTTCACAATTAAATCTGCATAGAAAAAATACAATAACACTATATACATTCATACAACCGCTTCAGATCAAGAACATTACCAATTGCATTATCAAATATAAACATTTAAATAATAACATAAACAAGAACAATATCATCAACAAAAATCTAATAATAAAAAATTTAAGATGTCCAATCAACCAAAAATTAAATATGTCCAAAAACACATAAATATAGATGTTCACATCAGTAAAATAAATAACGTCTAGTTTGATTCAATCTCCCCCTCAACTGATGCTGTACTACTCCCACTACTCATCTGCTCCCTCATCTTTCACATTTCCTCTAACATTTGAGCTTGTTGTATCTGCATCTACTGCTGCATCTGCATCTGCTTGTTACTGCATCTGCATCTGCCAGTCAGCTTGTGCTTTCCTTACATGTTCTGCATCTACATTTGTTGATAGCCAAATGCATTCCTCCACTTCAACCATCTAACTTGAATTCTACTAATAATATTCCCATTTATTTCACCATATTACATTTCACTTTTTATGTCCAACATTCTGCATCATAAAACATTATAGGTCTAACCACCACCATATAGAATTTTCCCTTAAATTTGAGGGGGACTTTATATCACACAACAAGCCCAATGCATTCTTCCACTTCAACCATCCAACTTGAATTCTACTAATAATATCATCATCTATTTCACCATAACTCTTAATAACATGCATATTTATTAATGACTTGATCACCCAAAATCACAAAACCCTAAACTATTTTTTCACAAAAATGCACTCCAAATATTTAGTTTTAAATATACTCATAATGCATACACCAATATACATTTTTCTTGTAAATGTATAGTAAGAACATTCAAACTCAAGGTGATGAGATAATACCTTCCCTTACTGGTGTCGTTCGGGGCTGCTTTGGCTAAATTCGGTGAGGGATCGGTCGAGGCAGCTCTCAGACGCGACGATGAAGTGCTCGCCGGTTGGTCGTCGGGGCAGCTCGCGAACTTAAGCGAAAATAGGGAGATTGCGCGCATCTAGGACTTGAGTGAAGAGAGCACGATCTCGCGGAGTCGGCATAGCTCTCGAACGACGTAAATAGAAGGAAACGAGAACTCGTTCGGTGAAGGCATCGAAATAGGGCTTTAACTGACGCATTTTGCCGGCGTATTATCCGTTGGCTAAATAACCGGCGTATATTATGCCGGTAATATTCGCCGAGTTTAAGTCGGCGCAATATGCGCCGGTAATTCCGCCAGTCATTACGGGTGGAATATGCGCCGGACAATTAAGAAATTCTGACGAAATTTGTGCATGTATTTTTGCGGCGGATATTGCCTCGGTATTTTTGCGGCGGATATTGAGCTGGAAATTGCGCTGTTAACTTACCGACGTATATTCCACCAGTACGTATGCTGGTGTTACCGAAACATCGGCGAAAATATTCCGCCGGAAAGTTCGACGGTAATCATGTATTTTCTTTAATGCTTTTATTTATCAATATATTAAATGAGGAGTTTAAAATTTATGATAGATATAAAAAAAACATTTCATAGCTCATAATTAATATAAAAAAATATTTATATGAAAACCTCTATTTATAATTGTTTAGTACCTTATCCAGCTTCATATATTAATAGTTATTTCAGAGTTGGAATGAGGTGACAAAATTCAACCATTAAATATTGTTATTTTTTAATAGTCAAATAACTATGAAAATCCACGTGGCTTGCATGCAAGCTAGGACAGAAGCCAAACCAGCTTATAATTGACCGGCACGTGCACCCTCTTACAATTTTCACCGACTCGTGCAGCCAAAAAGCGCGACATTTGGTACCGGTTTTGGATTCAGATATCCGATACGATTTCGTTTACGATCTGCCACAAGCCTTAACCTTTTTTTCATGCTTCCCCGCCCTCCCTTCATTGCTCTCCCGCCGGTAAGATCTGGGAAATTTCTAGGGTTGGGTTCAGATTCTTGTTGGAAAAATGATCGTATCGGCTCTGCTTACTTCTGTTGGCATAAATTTGGGGCTCTGCGTGCTGTTATTTGCGCTCTATTCCGTCCTCAGAAAGCAGCCGGGGAACATTGAGGTGTATGTTCCGCGACTGGTTGTCGAGGGGAAAGCGCAGCGAACTAGGGAGTTTAACTTGGAGGATCTTCTGCCGAACCCGGGATGGTTGAGGAAGGCTTGGCAGACGTCGGAAGATGAGCTCCTCTCTTCGTGCGGTTTGGACGCTGTTGTCTTCATAAGGATCTTCATTTTTAGGTTTGCTCATGATTGCTTTCGTTATGCGTTATACTTTCTTAGAACTTTTATTTAGTAATGGTATGCATGTCCTTAATTGAGGTATCGGTGAATAAGTGTTGAAGTTTGCAATGGCTGGACCAAATCCGCATTGCAGCGTGACCTGTAAAGCAAGTTTAGTGAAGAACAGAGACTGAAAATTCTTGTGAGAACTGAGAGAAGAACTTTAGCCATAAGAATATTTTTAGGGCATCTCCAACCGAAAATTCTATTTTTCACTCCAAAATGCAGTTATATTAAAAAATGAAGTGAATCAACTCCAATCGAATTCCATTCTACGGGCTTCTGCGAAGGTAATGGTCTTTCTCCTCTTTGGCATGTTTCTTCTGCAAGTCTGGTTGAGACAAGAAAGTGGCGTTGATGAACAGTGCAACGCCAATATTGACGTCGGACTGTTAACCCGCAAGCAAATAGCAAAAAATTTCGCGTTTGGCTGGAGCGACCGAATGACGTTATAGACATGTTTGGCATTCGGTTGGAGATGTTCTTATGTAGCTATTTATTTAGCTTTTACAATTCACTGTGTATGTATGTATATATCGTAAGAACTGAGCACACCGATATTTGGCCAGATAAAGTGCTTTTGCTCTATACATGTATGATTTTGATTACTTATGTTGTTAGTAATTCACCGTGGGAAGAGATTTTGTAAGAATATTAGCAGGATAATCGTGAGAGCTAATAGGAACCACTCAAATGTGTTTGGAGTGAATATGATCCTGAATGAAGTGATAATCAATCTCGATGCTTGGTTTGTGTGTGAAAAACAGGATTGTTAACTAGGAAAATTGTTGAAATATTATCACAATGAACATCAGTGGGCTAATCGTAAGAGATGTGGTTGCACAAGAGTTGACATAGCCATAAAATGTCAGCTGTAGGCTGTAGCAGCTACGAGGGCACGATATTTGGCTTATGTGGATGATCATGCAATAGTTTGTTGTTTCTTAACACTCCAAGAAATTAGAGTGGAGCTAAGATAGGAACAAAACCTATTGTGGAGCCACGAGCTGTCACTTGCCCATTCAACATTACAAAATGAGGTAAGAATGAGTGGTCCTTGTGAAATAGGCAAGCCTAGTGGAGTGTTCCCTTAATGTAACGTAGAAAATAGAAAGCTTTTAAGAAAGAAAGTGATCGGGGTAGTGGTTTGTCCGTATGTTGGCATAGTTGGTTAACAGTAAAGCGATGTCAGGGGCGTGATGGTTAAATATTAGAGAGTGCCTATTAGGTTGTGAAAGATTGTGGGTTCAAATAGGGTCGTGGATTTTGGTGATGGTGCTGACAGTTTGGATGGTGTGGGCATTGATAATGGATTATAGTTGGTCATGCAGGCTTTATAGAGAATAGTTGCCGTGTATGAGGCTTAAGATAGAAAGCATGATTGGTGTCGTGTGGAAATTCGATTTCCATGGAAGTTAGAGATCGGACCTAGATGTTTCATGGAAAATCTAGAGCTAAGATTGAGGATAAGTCTTGAGATAGCTGAGGTGTTGTTACCGGTTAGGAGTATGTTGTTGAATAGATTTGAAAGTTGAGGCGTACTTGATTTTTGTGAAATATGAGGAAAGAAGGGTCGACCTTGCTTTGTGTAAAGCTGATACAAAGAAGATAGTTGAAGAATTTATTGAACCATTGACGGGGAGCTTGTTTGAGGCTGCAAAGTGATTTTTGAAGTAGACAAACATTGTTTGGGATTATAGGGTTTGGAAGCTGTGTGGTTGATACTTATAAATAGTCTCTTCAAGAGAACCATGAAGAAACGTGTTAAGTGTAAATTGTATACTGTTTATTGTATTTAAATTTAATGAGAACGTGTTTCTTTAGTTGTATGTGCAGGAAATTTTCATGAAAAGACAAAAAATTCGCAAGTGTTAAATTAGCGACGCAACGTCTACAACACGTTCTCACTAAATGGTAGCACCAACGTCACTAATTTAACACTAAAGGGAGACAATATAATTGTAGGAAGGCCTTTAATCTTCCTTTTCACCCCTACTAGTTTGACAGAGATCTAGGAATGTATATGCTCTGATCCATATCAATATTTAAGAGTTTCATTAGTAAAACATTGTTATTTTACAATCATTATTTCAAAACACGTTTTATATATTGATATCACATCATCTATTTACATTCTATGTAAGTGACAACCCTTCATTCTTGTTTGGTAGGATAAATTGTGCATCCGTAGTAAAAAGTACTAGTTTGATTGCAACCTAGCATAACACTTCATCGTGGGATCGACACTCACTCATTCACTTTATTACTTGATCGACATGTATACTTGTGTATCCAATAGTCAATTTCATATCAAAGAAAATCCAAGCTTATTCATATTCATACATAAACTGTTCACAGTGTAACAATAGCGAGCACAATACAGGCCTCACACATGCCCGTTGCCCTGTCAAAAGGCATTGGCCACATAAAGTTGATGACTTTGCTATTGCATATTTAGAGTTATGATGAGAACTCATCTGGAAGACGTTTTAGCGACGAGACTCAAGGTTTTCCTATAGTTTAAACCAAATTCTTGATTATGGCTTTGAGCGACGAGTCTCGCTTTATGCCGGGCGACTGAACCATATGCATGGTATTTTGTGAGGAATGTCTATTGGCAACCTAAGACATTATGATTTGTAGGTGGAACAAGTTTCTATGTACCTTGTTGTTGGATTACAAGGAATTCATCAGCCATGGCCCTACGCTAATTAGTGTTTGGCAGCTTACGAGAAGGTGGGGTCAAATAGTTTGAACTTCAAATTTTGAATGTATTGAAAAAAATTCATAAAAGCACGATTAAGCATCTACAAATAGAGTATAGTATTTATAACCTAGAATAGAGGTCATCGGGGAAGGTCCTTATACATAAGAGTAAATTAATTCTAGATTGACAATGATTATTAGTAGACTTTAAAAACGATAATCTATGGCTTTTTGAGGCAGTACAAGATGTGCAAAAAGAGAAAAATACAGGAGTATAAATGGGTTTATTTTGTTTTAATATTTGTTGCAATTGTACTGTCACGACTCGGCCCGATTATCTCGTATAGATGAGGCGAGAATGAAATCGGACGGTAGGTTAAATTATGTAATATCTAAATCTATCTCCATAATAATTTGAAAGAGTATCTAAAACATCAAAATTGAAATCACATAAACATAAAATCAAATATATTCATAATTACCTTTCTTCCAGAGCTCCTCTCCTACGATAAACATTGCAACTTCTACCCATTTTTGATTAATTTTAGCTTACCTGAAAAATGTTAACAACTAACATTAAGCCGAAACTCAGTAAGTAAAACACAATTCTAAACTACAGTAATCAAGACAACTGCGTAATATGTTGGATGTCAATTTCATATGAACATAATATAAAAATGATTTCATACTAACATAACATTAAACATATCATATCATAAAGCCGTATTTTTCATTTCATTTGCATATTCATATCAATATACTTAGCTTTCTCCTTTCGTATATATTATAATTGTCACATGAGCCACCGTCTAGTACCAAAAGGTACTCCTTTACCATTTTCTTTTTCATATCATTTACCATATTAACGTGCATAAGTACAGCATCCCCAGCTAGTACCATAAGAGGGTGAGCTTCATCTATTCAGCATGCACACACAAGTATTCAATATAACATTCATATCATTTCATTCATCTTATTTCTAAAATATATTAACTTTGCATAATAATATCACAAGATGTATCATATAAATTTCATGATCAACATTAGACAAGAGTGAATATTTTCTAAGCATGTCTGATCTATTAATCATATAACTAGAGAGAAACAAAATTCATTACTGTAAATAAAGAAACATGCATACTTACAAAAGTTAGGATTTCAATTTCTCTTTGCTAATCCTCCTTCCTTCGAGGCAATCACAAATAACACCTATAAGAATAAATTTCTCCTTCAAAGTTATTTTTAAAAAATCTAAATTAATGTTCTAATTCTATTCCTAATCTACCATAAGCTCTTTCTTTCTTTCTCATTTAAAACATAAGGCATAAAAAAATCTAAAATCTCATATTTTGGTCTATTTACTTATTTTAACCTAATTAACCCTTTACCATAACATAAAATTATTTAAACTAATTTCTATTTTTGGATTTGCCTAAAATCCAAATTTTTGGAAACATGATTTTTGATTATTTTCATTATATTTTTATGTGAAAACCTTTTCATTATTAAATTAATATTTAGGTATTTTCATTTTCGGATTTAATTTAATAAAAAAATAATAAAAAATAATATTTCATGAAAATTCATAATTCCTACTCTTAAAAACTTCCTTAAGACCCATAGAAATATTATACATTAAGATATTTTATAGAAAACAAAAATTTGCAAAACCCTAACTTTCAAAATCTCACAAATAGTTTGAGGAAATTTCATTCATATAATTAAAACATATTCCTTATTCATTTCGTAAAGAAAAACTAGGTTTTTATCAAACCTTAGAAAGTCTCTTCAAAAAATCTACGAGAAAAGAATGAATCTCTTTCTTAAAAATTCACCTTAGCCTCCTTGAATCTCCCTCTTCGATTTCCCCCCAAGTTCGGCCACCAGAAATCGCCGCCGGAGCTGCACTCCCAAGCCTTGCATCGCCTCCCGTCCTCCCTTGCTTGTCCGCCTCCTACGTTCAGCTGAACCGTGCGAAATGGGGGAAAGGGGGTTCGATTTTGTTATTTGAGGGAGATGGGTATGCCAAAAGACCTCTATGCTTTCACTTAAAAAACCCATGCTTGAATAAACATTAAGGGTACTTTCACTACTTTTGGTATTATGAGACTTCTCTAATTTTTATTTCTTAAATTAAGCAAAATTAAATATAAGTTTTATATATCAAATTTCTTAGAATTTTGCGCAAACTTTTATAAAATTAATTTCGTCAAAATCTGACAACCTTGAAATTTTCACTTAAAACTCATCGC